TCACTTAACAATACGTTACTAACTTAATAACTGCAGCGATTAACAAACGTGGTAAGAAAAGCTGTAAAATGGGGCAAACACACTTAACTGTTTTCTTAGCAACAGATTTTTTGGGGCTCAACTGTGGTTGTAAGTCGAGGACTACCTATACCAGGGGTAGGCAACCTGGGCCCTTTTATGACTTGTGGACCTCAACTCCCAGAATTCCTGAGGCAGCCATGCTGAGGGGAAAGGGAGAGATTTCCAAGCTGAGCTGTGCTGGCTCAGGAATTCTGGGAGTTGAAGTCCACGAGTCATCAAAGAGCCAAGGTTGCCTAGCCCTGACATTACACCTCTAATACATTGGACTACCTCCTTTCTGGTTTAAAAACTTGAGTCTCCTCCTGGCACTCTGAACAGATTCCTGGAACAGCATGAGGTTTTCCCATCATTCCCTAGGCCACAAGGAGAGGAAGACCACTTTTTTAAAAGCCCAATTTCCCCCAAACAAGAAACTTACTTTCTGCATTTAAAAACCGAATTGCCAGAAGTTCTGGTTTAGGACTCTCATCTGCAAAATCAGCGTGTGTATTCCACACCCAGGCTCGGTCACTCCCAGCATTGGGCTTCAACTCCATTAAAGGTGTGACTAGAAGTGAGGGGGGGGGGGGAAGAGTTAGGCACAGGTAATCCAGCAAAAGATGATACAAACTATCGAACAATCTTACAATCGATATAAGCAATCTTACAAGGCTGTGAAAAACCAGCATGGAAGATCAAGTCTATCTAAAAAAATAACAAATGTGCAATTGTCTATTATCTGCATTTAAAATATTGTTGAATATATTTCAAAATATTATCACTTTTATTCAGAGTTAAGGGTTCGTTGTTACAATACCAATTGATACAGGAATCTTAAGTAGGAGAAGAACACTAAATTACATACTGTAGTGATTAGCACAGATTTTTAGAGTTTTATCTCTCCTCATTAAGAGGCGGATGGTCCCCTTCTCTCTGTGCTTCAGGAGTTTTACGTCCCCAGTGCCACGTTCTTTCCATTCTGGAAGGTCATTTTCTGATGCAAATCGGAAAAGTTTTGCTCGCCTTCATGAAAAAATAAAATGCAAACAAAAAAAGAAGAGAAATTAATGGCAATGAATATGCCAGAGATTATACTGAATTAGGATCTTTTAGTATCACAGAGATAACTAATTTCTAATTTCAATTAATTTTCTTCAACAGACAACACAACCTTGAAAGTTATAATATGATAAAAGCCTCTGGAGAAATTCCTTTGAAATGAAATGCGTTTAAAATTTACTTTCTGGATGGCTAAGACAGTTTCAGTCAGTTACAATGGAGTTCAAACACTTTTTAAATAGGTTTTTAAATGAAGCTTCATGATGAGATAAAATATAGAAGAAACAAAAGTTAGGAAAATAAGAAAAAGAAGAGAGAAACAGGCAAAGAGTAATGGTTTCTGACTTTCTTCAGGGCAACAGACTACAAAAATAATACATTGACCTTTTACTTTACATTTCTAAATCTTAAAAGCCATTTCTATCATACGAAATCATTTAAATCACCTAAACTCAAAAGTTTCATTTTTTTCCAATTTCAAGCAGAAAGTCAAGAAGTAGTTTCAAAGTAGAAACAAAACTGGATAAATTCTTTCATTTAAAGAATCAATTTGGCCATGTCTGCTAACTCCATTACCTTTACCATCCTACAGTGGAGTTTCCCAACATTTTTGGCTTTGTGGACTGGTGGATGGAGGAGGAGGGGATGGTTCTATATGAGTGCCTGGGAAGTGTGTGTGCATGCTACTCGTGCAAGGGAGAATACGCGCTTGCCAGCTGTTTCTGCGGCCCGGTTGCAAACCCCTCATGGCCCACTGGGTTGGGGACCTGTCCTAGAGTTTAAACAACCCATTTTGCTAAAAGTGAACCCTGCAGATCTTCCCATTTCCCACATAAATCGGGACTTCAGTTTTACACCTGGAAAGTTTACTCTTACGCTTCCCTGAAAGCTAAGAGAACCTGCTAATTTAATTGCGGAAAGCTTTGGCTTGAGCTTACATCTTGAAAAGTTCTTCCTCATCTTCCTCCAGAGTTCTGATTTCTTGCTCAGGAAGAGAAACGATGGGCTCAAACTGTGGATCGTGGTTAGAATCATCTGCATTGTCAGTTGCTGAGTCATGCTCCTCGTGTGCATCCTGCAGAGTTAGAGAACAAAAAAGCTTGAAATGCATCGAAGGCTTGTTAGAGAAGATCATCTCGAAGAGTTATGGTAGACATTCTCATAAACACACCCATCTGACTTTCATTAGAAAGCTAATTGAATCCTATTTCATTCCGAAAACAGCAGCAGCAGTTTTTTATGGTGGTCAACAGAACTGCAAAAGAACACCCAGAGTTCAAAAATCTCACAAGCAGAAATCTCCAAATCGTGTTTTTAGTTTATCACTTTCTAAACTTTAGAAAAAAATCAGTGCAAGCTTGCAACCACCACTAAATATAGGTATACATGATGCTCAAATGACATCCAACCATATTAAAATTGTGCCCTAAATGGGTGGTGAACATTGTCCCTCCACCAAAGAATGAATGCCACCACAGATATGTGAAAAGAGTATTAAAACATCAATAAAAGGATGCTAACTGTCACAAAGAACTGAGGCATTATTCAGAAGTCTTTGGCAGTGGCCAGCAGAGAAAATAAAGATAACCTTTATTGTCATTTTTTTTACTGTGGGCACAACGGCACACATCAAAAATGAAATTTAGTTGCCCGCTCTCAAAGTGAAACACATTCATGACGCATACCTAAACATATTATGAACAACATATGCATAAACAAATTATGTGTTCCCTTGTTTTGTACTTTAAAACAGGTGTCAAAAACTAAAAATGAGAACAGATTAGTTGGAATTTGATGGCTACTATATAAATGAGGATTTTAAAACCTGAAGGTTTTCCTCCTCCAAAATTGAACCTTATCTGCATTTTATTTTGTGCTTGAGAAAAAAAATACATCCTTGAAACAAATAACTATGCCCAAAATGACTTTCATACATTGCAATTCTTTTTACAGCAATCTGGTTTACCAAAATCTGAAGGTCCCCAAAGATACCTGCTGCTTTCTTAAAATTTTCAATCATGGCACCCGAAAACCCCTGATTTAAGGGATTCACTGCTGTTCACTTAGCCCAGCACTTCTCAAAGGGTGGCCTCGGGTCCCCAAAACCCTTTGCTGCGATTCATGAAGTCAAATAAGCAAACATTTTAACCTTTTCTCAATTTAAAACTTCTGATACCTCCATAGATATAACCCACAGATCAACCAAACCTCCCCCATCATTTCTAAGAAGGCAGAGAAAGAGGTTCTGGCACCAAAAGACTGGCGAACCAGGAAGCCACAAGAATGTTTGCAAAGTTTAAGACAGGCATAGAAATTTAATATGTATGTACTTATGTATGTTATAGACTCGAAGTTTTAAAGAAGAGACTGGACAGCCATTTGTCTGAAATGGTATAGGGTTTCCTGCCTGTGCAGGGGGTTGGACTAGATGACCTCCAGGATCCCTTCCAAGTCTGATATTCTTTTTTTTCCCTCCCTCCCTTCCTTCCTTCTCCGACACTGGAAGTTTTTAAGAAGAGACTGGACAGCCATTTGTCTGAAATGGTGGTAGGGTTTCCTGCCTGAGCAGGGGGTTGGACTAGATGACTTCAAAGATCCCTTCCAACTGTTATTTTTTTTCCCTTCCTTCTCCAACATTGGAAGTTTCTATGGAGAGATTAGACAGCCATTTGTCTGAAATGGTAAAGGGTTTGCTGCCTGAGCAGGGGGTTGGAGTAGATGACCTCCAAGCTCCCTTCCAACTTTATTATTATTGGGGCCCAGAATCACCTCGTAGGGGAGATGAGCGCCATGAAAACATTATAATAACCATCCATTCATGTAATAATAAATAATAACGATCCGGACCGTGCATGGAAGGGTTCCGGGGGGGGGGAAACAATCGGCGGGCATCGCAGCTGGGGGTCAGGGATGGGGAAGACCCCTCCCATCGTGGGGAAAGCCCCTCCCTTCAGGGGGGAGGTTCGGACTGCCACGCATGAACACACACACCCCGCAAGCCATGGGGCAAGGGAGCCCCCTGGAAGACCACCCCGGGTCTTTTTTGGGGGGGGGTCGTCTAGACTCTTCCCGCCGCTTCTCAACATCCCACCCGGGGCCAGGGCAAGCACGTGGGAGGGCGGAGCCAAGCACGAGGCCGCAGGACCCGTCCCTCCCGCCGGGACTGCAACTCCCCGAAGGCCCGGCCGCAGCCGGCCAGGCAGGGAATGCTGGGAAATGAAGTCCCAGGAGGCGCGAGGGCCTGAGGCGGAGAGGGGGGGGGCTCCCTGTATGAGTGTGGGGGGAGGGGATTCGGTGGGGTCCCTCACGGGAGGCCGAGGCCGCTGAGGGAGGGCCGCCCCGCGCCTGAGGGGGCCTAGTGGCGGCGCGAGCCCCTCTCCCCGGCTCGCCCCCCGCCTCACCTTCGTCTCGGCCATGGTGGGTCCCGTCGGGCTCGCTCCCCGTCGCCGCACGGCTTCCCGCCTCCGCTGCTGCCCGCTCCCGCCGCGCGCTCGGTCGTTGCGCCGCCTGGGCTCCGCCCCCGCCGCTCAGGCCACGCCCACCGCGGCCCGCGCCGCCGCAAGGCCTGACGGGAACGTGGGCCTAACCGCCACGGCCGCTTCTAAAACTAAAAAAAAAAAAAACAGCGGCTGGGCCTCTGATCGCCGTTCTCCCCCGGCCCGCGGGTGGGCAAGCGGACTTTCCTCGCGTGAGGGAGGGAGAGGAACGGCCGGGCTTGAGCAACGTGGGGAGGCCTCACGCGCGCGCGCGCGCTTTCCGCCCGCCTTCCCGTCGGCCCTCGCGCGACCCCTCCGCTCGGGCGGCGACGCTCAACCTGACGCGCGAGCGCGCGCGCGCATGAACATACGGGGATTTTTTTTTTTCCAGCCCTTCGGGGGAGGGGAGAGGAGGAGGAGGGGAAAAAAAAGAAAAGCCGGAGCGAGGCAGAGCGACGTTGCTCACGCGGCGTTATGCCGGCTCCGCCCTTTTTTTTCGCGCCTGCGCTCTCTGTGCCAGGTGGGCGTTTGGAAGTGCGAGCCCGGCGGCGGCCGAGGTGAGTGGAAAGTGGCACGCGGGGTTCCTTGGGCTTCTAGTCGCGCATAGGGGCGCCCCTGCAAGCTTCCTCAGCCTGGCGCCCTCCGGATGCGGATGGATTGCAAATTGAGGAATGCGCCGCTTGTAGGAAGCTCGCTTAGACGGCGCTAGGTTACAGGAGTGCTGCTGCGCAGGGGGTTCTGGGTCATGTAGTTTTAACCCCTCCCAAAAGCTCCATCTTGGGCAGGGTTAGGCAACCTTGGCTCTTTGATGACTCGTGGACTTCAACTCCCAGAATTCCTGAGCCAGCGTGGCTTAGCTTGGAAACCTCTCCCTTTCCCCATGGTTGGCTCAGGAATTCTGGGAGTTGTAGTCTACGAGTCATCAAAGGGCCAAGGTTGCCTACCCCTGACCTTGGGGAAGGCTGGAGTTGTTCAATTGGATGCTTTGAGTTTTTCCCCTGCTCATGAACCCTGTTCATTTCTCCACCCTGGGAACTTGAAATGGACTTCAATTCCCAGAATTCTTCAGCCAGCATTTCAAGACAAATCAGGAACCTTCAACCTCAAACCAGAAATAGCACAGGACTAATAAAGCACAATCGTGGCCAGTCTAGCTGAAGCTGGGTGTAACATCCACTCACTTTTCCAGGTTTTCAAAAATAGACTGGATAAACCATTGGATTGGGATGGTAGGAGTGGTTGGACTAGAAGACCTCCCAAGTCCCTTCCAGCCGAATGATTCTATGTTCTTCAGATCTTCCTGGATACAACCCACAGCTTCTGCCTGCTTGTGTTTTGCTGGTTATCTGGTTAATGTTTTGCCAGGATGAGTTTGTTGCAGTGGTGTCCTGTTTCCTTAGTGCTTTGCATAGAGGACAGCTGCTAAGCCTTGCAGCTACTTAAAGCTGATTTTTACTACAGGTATTGAATTTTTTTATATTTTTAAAAGATACCTCTCCTAGAGCAGGGTCAGCCAGTATTCTAATAATCCACCATCATGGTGGCTAAGAGTCACAACAATTCTCTACCATCCTCGCTACTCCGCTTAATTGTGGTTTATTACAGTTCATTTTAGGCTGGTTTTGCCCTCAAATGATCTTCCTGTGATTTGGTTCCAGGTTGAATGTTATTTTTTTCTTTGCAGAATGGCTGAAAGAATGGAAGGAAACGACGACGCCGTGGGCTCAGGGGATACAAAATGTGCCGCCCTGGAATCCGTGGTCCAAACCGAAGAAACCAATACGGGGAATACGTCCGATGCTTCCAGCATGTACAGGTATATTAAAGAGGACTTGTTCACCTCAGAAATCTATAAGGTAGAACTTCAGAATCTCCCCAAATATATTGGCTTTAGCGAAGTCAAGAAGTTCCTTGCCCGATACGGACTCAACCCGCATAAGATAAAGCTGATGGGGAAGCAGACCTTCGCTTTTGTCACTTTTAAGAGTGAGGAAGAACGGGACAAAGCGATGAAAGTTCTCCACGGGGTCCGGTGGAAGAACCGGAACCTGGGTGTCCGCTTGGCCAAACCAAAGGCGGATCCCATTTTGAAGAAGAGGAGGAGAGAGGAAGGCGCCGAAGAGGTGTCGGCCAAGCGCCCTGCTTCGTCAAAAGATGGCGAAGAGGAGTCTCTGAGCAAACAGATCGCAGACGTGGTGACTCCTTTGTGGACGATCCCTTATGAAGACCAGCTGGTGAAGAAGAAGCAACAGTGTCAAGAAGTGCTGGCGAAACTGACCAGGTAATTTTTCTGTTCTGGGAGATTCACTTTATAGCTGACCACGGTAAAGTGGGAAAGAAATAGAATAATGTAGAATAAAGAAGAATAAAGTATAATAATAATAATAATGAAAAATCACTAAAAGCAAAAATCATGTGTCTGCATAATCTCTGAAAAGAAAGCTGTGTTAGCCAAAAGCTGTGTTAACAGTACATGAATGACCTAATGCATATTTAGAAGCATTGTTTAAAAGTAAAAACTGCCTTCATTGTATTCCCATGAGAAACGGACCTAACGTGTGAGAAACTATCTGAATGTTACACAAAGTAGATTCCATATACAGTGTAAGATTCCATCTATGCTTCCTTTGTTCCTGAGAAAAAGAAACCTATAAAGCTTTAGTTTAGACCCTCCCCCTTGTTCAGAAATTTGCTGATTGTTAAATCACTTCTGAACCTTTTGCGCAAAAATAAAAACCTCTCTTTCACCCTTGGAATTCGTAAAAGTCCTTTTTTTTTAAGGCTTTTATTTTTCCACAAGAACGGTGAACTTCTCCAGTTCCAACTCATTGGCAACGGCCAACGCAGTTTCGTTCGTTCCACGCTTTACAAAGCAGGAAGGTATCTCCTAATGGCATAATTGGACTGGAATGTGGAAACTTTGGGGTTTGTGGTGGGGAGAAGGGGTGGATGTGGAGCTGACAAACACGCTGCCTCATGGGAGGGTTGCCTCATGGCGACAGGCTAGTGAGAATTTTATCCCTTCGTGGTTGCAAAGATGGTCTACAACAGAACCTCCAGCCCATGGGTGTCCATAACCATCCCATTTCCTTGTTGTTTGGGGAGGCAGAGTACAGTTGATCCCAAAACTTCTTTTGCTGAGCAAGACAGTTAAGTGGGTTTTGTGCCATTTTACGACCTTTCTTGGCATCGTTGTTAAATGGAAAAGTACATTGGTGACACAATTGTTAATTGAATCAGGCTTCCCCATGGGCGTTGTTCATCAGAAGGTCACAAAAGGGGAATCACCTGACCCCCCCACCACTTATGACCACAATTGAGCCCAATGTTGTTAAGTGAGACATTTGCGAAGTGAGCTTTGCCCCATTTTACGACCTTTCTTGCCACAGTTGTTAAGTGAATCCCTGCAGTTGTTAAGTTAGTGACACCGTTATTAAGCGAAGCCGGGTTCCCCGTTGACTTTTGCTTGTCAGAAGATCCCAAAAGGGGATCGCATGATCCCGGGACAATACAACCGTCATAGAGATAAGCCAGTTGCCGAGTGTTTGCATTTTGATCACATGACCATGGGGATGCTGCAATGGTGGTTAAGTGTGAAAAATGGTTTGGATTTTGGCCTTGGGAAACGGGGACTGCCTCCTCCACAGCTTAATAATAATAATAACAATAAAGTTGGAAGGGACCTTGGAGGTCATCTAGTCCAACCCCCTGCTCAGGCAGGAAACCCTATACCATTTCAGACAAATGGCTGACCAGTTTCTTCTTAAAAACGTCCAGTGTTGGAGCATTCACCACTTCTGGAGGCAGGTTGTTCCACTGATTAATTATTCTAACTTCCCCTGCTTTAAACCATGGCTTAGCCAGGATGCTTCGTGATGAGACACTGATGTTGGTTTTGTCCTTTCCTTCTCCTTCCTTATTGCCAGTAAACCTTTTATTTTTGACCTTTTTGGTTTCAGGGAAGTGGGAAACAACAACCGAGCGCTGCTCCCGTGGTTGTTCCTGCAAAAAGAGAAGCACGATGGGCTATGTTGCTCCTTGGAGGGAGTGAAGCCATCACCCTTACAGGTGCATGCGTACCGGGAGTTTCGCGCAATCCCTGTTTAATAAAGGTTTGGGAGGAAGGAAAGCACTAGACGTGCCTACTCAGCCTTGCTTTTCGCACTGAGGAGCTGCTAAGAAGCGTAAAGGGTTGAATGAATACAGGTAGTCCCCGAGTTACAACAGTTCATTTAGTGACCGCTCAAAGTTAGAACGGCACTGCAAAAAGCAACTGACGACCATGGTAGCATCCTCATAATCACGTGATCAAAATTCATACACTTGGCAACTGACTCATACTTAACAACAAATTTGCAGTGTCCTGGGATCCTTGTGATACCCTTTTGTGATCTTCCAACAAGCAAACTTCACGGGGAAGCCGGATTCACATAACCGTGTGACTAACAACCGCAGCGATCCATTTAACAACTGTGGCGAGAAAGGTTGTAGAACAGGGCAAAGCTCACTTCACAAATGTCCTGCTTAGCTATGGACATTTTGGGGCTCAAAATTGTGGTCGTAAGTCGAGGACTACCCGTAACAATAGAACCTGAAAAAAGGACATATATGGCCCACATCTGAAGTTTCAACAATTCCCTTCCCCGCTTGTGACTGTGTTGTGGATGCTTGGCAACTGCCCCTTTTTCTACTTCTGTTTGCAGCGTGCTTTGGTCACGTGACTCCAATGAAACTAGCGTTTATTTCCGATTTCTGGCAAAACACGCCCATTGCAGATAACGGGTTCATTTCCCCTAATAGCTAGCAGTGTTTCTCAACCTTGACAATTTTAAGGCATGTGAACTTCAACTCCCAGAATTCCACAGCCAGCATTGCTAGGGTGACTCACTTTAACAACCACCCACATAAAAGATGGTAAAATCGGGTCAAGTCGCGTGATGACCGGCTTAACGACCGGCATGGCTTAGGACTGTAATTCCAGGCTCAATTTACAGCTGTAAATCGAGGACTGCCTGTATTCTCACGACTGGTGTTGTCGTCGTCGCTCCTCACGTTCATTTTGTACCACCACCACCCCAGGCAGCGTCCCCAACGACTCCGTTCTGAATTTTGCCTTGCTTTGCCTTTTAGACCGAGTATCGCAACAAATGTGAATTTTTGATTGGCTCGGGCCCAAATCAAGAAGACAAAACGGTCGGCTTCCGCCTGGGCAAATACAAGGGGGGTTCCTGTGCGGTGGTGGACCCCTTCGACACCATCCACGTTCCCGCGGCGGCCAAAAAGGTGGTGAGGGCTTTCCAGGACTACATCCGGTAACCCAGTCTGCTGTTCGTCGTTTTTTTTTTAGAACGTTTCTTCTACGGGAGTTTTCTGCTTTTCGGTTCTCCAGGCGTGGCTTTTGCATGATGAGACGGTGGTTTTCTGCAGACATTTCATTACCCAACTAGGTGACATCATCAGTGCTAGAAGGGATCGGAGTTTCCTTTCTGTTTATGTACAGTGGCTTGCCTTGTACAGCACTGAAGGTGTTATCTAATAGGGCAGTGGTTCTCAACCTTTTTAATGCCGCGACCCCCAACCGTTCGTAAGTTGAGGACTACTCAACTGGTGCAGCACTGTTTGCAGAATGGGACTTTTGGCGGGCTCAGCAGGGCAGAGACAGCCTGGACAATTCCTATTGGCTTTTGAAAGCCAATAGAATTAGACTCTATTCAAGAGAGTCTATTCTATTGGCTTTCAAAAGCCAATAGAATAAAAGGGAGTAGCACAGCTAAGGAAAAGGGGGGGGAAATGGTGGACTGCTTTGTTTGGCGACCCCCGTGAAATGGTCGTTCGACCCCAAATGGGGTCCTGACCCACAGGTTGAGAACCACTGTAATAGGGTAATGAAATGTCTGCAAGAAAACAACCCAAGCTCAGAGAGCATCAAGGACCCCACAGTTCAACTCTGAACTACAAAAAATAACGGTATTTATATAGCCACCTATCTTACCTGGAGTAGCTCCCAATCAACAGTTGCACTTACTAAGTCCTGATTTAGTAATTAAGGATTTGTAAATTACAGGTCAACCTCTTATGGTGTTTATAGCCCAGAAACCTACGAAGGTCACTGGAAACAGCTAACAGTTCGTACTAGCTTGGATGGCCAAGTCATGGCAATTGCCTATTTTAACCCACAGGTATTATAAACTTTGGTTTCTATAGTAAAACATAAGTTTTCAGCACCTTTTTTGATGTCTCCAAAAACTGCTTATTGTTCTTGGATTTAACGCACAGTTTCCTTGGATAAATGTCAGCTATGCTTCAGATGTTATTGTCATTTTGCTTAACTGTCTTTAAAACCGGCTGTGCTGTTCAGACATCTAAGCATCTTTCTGCTTTTTTGGAATCTCTAGAAATTGAGCCAAGAAGAACGGGCTACATTGCAAAGCTCTATGGCTACGTACTTCACAGAAGGTCCCGGGAAAGACAGCGGAATAACGTCTTTATATTTTGTGGAAGAAGGTCAGAGGTAACAACAAAAGATATTTTTCAGGGTTAACACAGAGATGAACTTTTTTTTAGAAGATGAAGGCAAGATCGGACGTGGGATACAATACCAATAGTCCCTCTAAGGAGGAAACTAAATACAGCTGAATTTTCATTGACAGAGGGATAGAATCAAGATCACGTGAAAGGTTAATACCACTTTACAATGCCTTGGTAAGGCCACACTTGGAATACGGCATCCAGTTTTGGTCACCACGATGTAAAAAAGATGCTGAGACTCTAGAAAGAGTGCAGAGAAGAGCAACAAAGAAGATTAGGGGACTGGAGGCTAAAGCATATAAGGAAAGGCTGTTGGAATTGGGTATGTCTAGTTTAACGAAGAGAAGGACGAGGGGGGACATGATAGCAGTGTTCCAATATCTCAGGGGCTGCCATAAAGAAGAGGGAGTCAAGCTATTCTCCAAAGCCCCTGAAGGCAGGACAAGAAGCAACTGATAGAAACTCATCAAGGAGAGAAGCAACCTGGAACTAAGGAGAAACTTCCTGACAGAACAATTAACCAGTGGAACAACCTGCCTCCAGAAGCGGTGAATGCTCTAACACTGGAAGTTTTTAAGAAAAGACTGGACAGCCATTTGTCCGAAATGGTACAGGGTTTCCTGCCTGAGCAGGGGGTTGGACTAGATGACCTCCAAGGTCCCTTCCAACTTTATTGTTATTATTATCTCAAGGTTCATTAAAAATACTGTAGGCTAAGGGCAACCCAGCTTGTTTTCCATGATGGGTAGGCGGATCCAAGAATAATTTTTGATTTCTGTTACTGACACAGTAATTAGTTAACTGCCAGTACAGTCAAGAGAGGCTGGAAAGAGATTAGAATAAAAATGTTAACTAGTGGGATTTTTTTTCTTCCTGCTTTGTCTATTAGTCCTTCGGGAGCCTTTCTGAATAGTGATCGCCCAATAAAATGGGAACACTTTTAGGTCTTCCATATCATTAATATGTGAACATTATTTGAGATTACTTGATTGTGCTGTTAATGTTATAATACTGAGCTGAAGAATCCTTGCGTTCATAAGTTCGAGAATCAGTTTGAGACCTCTTTTCTGGCCCTCATTTGTTTAATCCATAATCGTAATAGTGGAGTGTGATTTGCAGATGCAAGGATGGCCATCACAAAACCCCGTTTTGCTGCTTGTTCCCTTTCCAGAAAATCACCGAATCGGGAAGATTTAATTTTGAACAACATCGCCGGGGATAAGTACATACAGGAAAACCTGCTGGGGTTAAAATTCCGGATTTCACCCCATGCTTTTTTCCAGGTAATTTTTCACGATGTTGTGCTTAAGCCTGGTTTTTGCAGTTGGGATTATTTATTGCCTGTTCTTTGGAAGTGAATTTTTAGGAAAATGGAGGAACTGCCTATTTTCCTGGGTCCCTCCCCCACCCTAAACAAATAAATAAAATGAGAAGAATTTGTGTCAGGATTAACTTGCAGTGCATTAAAACTTTAAGGAGTAAAACTATACAAGCTGATAATTGTGTCTCGAAGAATTGAAATAAAAGGCACACAGGCATAAAGAATTGAAATAAGAGGCACACATCTGCATTTTAAGGGCCCTCCTTTCTTTTGGCTGGCTATTAAATAAGTAAAATAAATCAGAGTGCTAAAATCTTTATACCTAAGTGTTGGTGGGTGATGGAATTAAAAGATACTATGACTTTCTTTTTTAAAAGTCCCGCGATTTCCTTGTTTCTCCCTATGATCCAAATGTGGCTTTTACCCTTTTCAATAGGCACAGCTCTATTAAGCTTTTCGCTGTAATTTTAATTTGGTATTCCAGTTTGACGGGAAGTCAAATTTACTTCAACCCGCTGAGATTTTTTGCCAGTGGCTTGTTCCCTGCTTGTTAGATGAGTTAGTAACAAGAATAATGTTGGACTTCACAGGTAAACACTAAGGCAGCCGAAGTTCTGTACTCAACCATTCAGAACTGGGTCGAGATTAACCAGGATACGACAGTGCTGGATGTTTGCTGTGGAACTGGATCAATTGGCATCTCTCTTGCACAGGTGAAGGAACAAGTTTGCTTCCTATTTCCACAAAGAAGGGGGAGCAGAGACATCACAATCCCCCCCCTTAGTATGTAGGCCTAGATTTACGGCCACAGTCAGGACTGAAATTTCCTTTGCTAAACCAGGCAATTTTTTGTTGTTGTTGCTGCTTGAATAGGGATTTTAATCCATCCAAATTAAATACAGAACCAGAAAAATAACCGTAACAAGTTAAGAGTCGGAACCGATGGACCCTAAGGCCTGCTTGTTCAGTGGAAGAAGCAGATCACTGTAAGGCAGTGGTTCTCAACCTGTGGGTTGGGACCCCATTTGGGGTCAAACGACCATTTCACGGGGGTCGCCAAACAACACAGTCCACCATTTTTCCCCCTTTTCCTTGGCTGTGCTACTCCCTTTTATTCTATTGGCTTTTGAAAGCCAATAGAATAGACTCTCTTGAATAGAGTCTAATTCTATTGGCTTTCAAAAGCCAATAGGAATTGTCCAGACTGTCTCTACCCTACTGAGCCCGCCAAAAGTCCCATTCTGCAAACGGTGCTGCACCAGTTGAGTAGTCCTCGACTTACGACCGGTTGACTAGTCCTCAACTTACGACCGGTTGGGGGTCGCGGCATTAAAAAGGTTGAGAACCACTGCTGTAAGGAATCTGCTGTCCCACAGACCAGCACTGGGCTAAATTCTCCCGTGTAAAGGTCCCTCTCCCCATATATAAAGATGAAATTCAGTGCAACAACAAAAACATTTACAAAGCAGGACAACAATCTTCTAAGGCGCAGGTGGCTTTGGCTGATCAATTCTCTGGCTTTTGAACCTGCGCCCAATTTTTGCGAATTTTTTTGGGGGGGCCATTGTTACGCTTATAAAGCCAGCAACGCGTTAACCGGTCATTGCTTTTTATCCTGCAGAAAGTGAAGAAAGTTATCGGAGTGGAACTGTGCGAAGAAGCGGTTGAAGATGCCAAAGCAAACGCTCAGCTGAACGGTAAAATGATAAGATGTCGAAACTTCTTGTTTTCGAGATTTCTAGCAGAATTCAATGTGAGAATGGCATTTTGTTCTTATATTCAACGCACTAGTGGTCCTTAACCTGTGGTCCACGCATCCCACGGGGGTCTGCAAAGGCTTGGAAAAAAAATGTTATTTGAATCTTGAGTTAGGTCTTGGGGGTCCGTGGCCATAAAAGGTGTGCAGTACACAAATTCTTGTGGATATGCAAATGCAGACGAGGAATTCTAGGGTGGATATTAAGATATTTCTTATGTTAAGACATTAACATACAGTAGTGGCCAAAATTGTGGAAACCTTTTGGGAAAAGTGTATTTTTGACGTTATGGCTAATAACACTTTTTTTTGGGGGGGAAGGTAGTACCATAAAATTATATACCAATGGAAAGATAATTTAATCAAGAATGTAATGCGACATAGTTTGTTCAATTATCTGTATGAAAAGTTATAGCCAAATAACCAGGTTGATCTCAGGTAGCTTTCCTTCGTCTGATTTGAGCATGAGTGTTTAGAAAGCCAATAAGGTGTCATTTTGTTTTGGAAATCAGATCCCAGTAGGATTCAGTTATTGATGTCATGTATTGAAGCTGAGAGGAGGACATTTGTCAGTGTGTTATGTGATCGCTATCAAACTGGTTGGTTTTTTTTTTGTGTGTGTTCTTTCATTTAGTGAGCTTGCAAAACATAATAAAATTAAAGTAATGGCGCAAAGAGTTGACTGGTTGCCCAGAAAGCGATGTAAAATAGTATTATTAAGTGAACAAGGCTACAGTTATAAAGAAATTAGAAGAAAAGTGGGTGGAAACTTAACCACAGGTGGCATTTCTACTGTACACTTTTCCCAAAAGGTTTCCACCATTTTGGCCACTACTATAAACGTGTTCTTTTTTTTTTCTTCCTCTTTCAGGGTTGATGAATGTCGAATTGCACTGTGGAAAAGCCGAAGAGCTTGTTCCTCACCTCGTGAACACATTAGCCCTGCATAACACAATTACAATTGTGGATCCTCCCCGAGCAGGTCTACGTAAGTGTGGGCGTGTGTGTGTGTGTGGGGACCCTCATGGGGCATTTTAGTAGAATTTTAAATTACACAATTGTACAGGAAAATGTGATGCGGCAAGACAAAAAAGGGATTGGGGCTGAGAAGAGAAGCAACTGCTGCTTTGCTTATAAGTTATTTAGCAACTCGGTCAGCTTTCTGCTTTCGGTAAACGGTCTTCTAATTTGCTCCCTTATTTCTTTTGGGGAGGAAACAAAAAAATGCCAAATTTGCTTTTTTGAGTTTTGGGGATGAAGAGAGGTGCTGCAAAACAAGCTAGGGATAACTTTGAATGAAGCTAAGCCTGCATTCCCCTTTATGGATTACTGCCTTGTCGTGGCGAAGGGGCTTGTGTAACTCAATGAAGCTATAAGCTATGCCGTGCAGGGCCACCCAAGACGGACAGGTCATAGCAGAGAGTTCTGACAAAATGTGATCCACTGGAGAATGGCAAACCACTCCAGTATCTTTGCCATGAAAACCCCATGGACAGTACTAAAAGGCAAAGAGGGCAATAGAAGAAGGGGACGACAGAGAATGAGATGGCTGGATGGAGTCACTGAAGCAGTAGGTGTCAACTTAAATGGACTCCAGAAGATGGTAGAGGACAGGAAGACCTGGAGGAACATTGTTCATGGGGTCGCGATGGGTCGGACACGACTTTGCAATTAACAACAAAGCCTGCATTGTCCTGGTGCAAAGGGCCTGCAGCATTACCATTGGCTCTTCCCTACTTTTCTTTGTTACAGTGGAGTTGAACATTCCCCCTTTCGGAGTTACTGTCATTTTATTTGCATGTTGCTTTTTCTCTTGACGGGGATAAAAAATACTGCCTTTTCTCCAGAGTTGTCGTCGTGGCAGCTAAAAGTCTCGTCCTGACAGTTTATCCGACGGTCCTTTTCTAGATTCCAAAGTCATCCTCGCCATCCGAAAAGCCGAACACTTGAAGAAGCTCCTTTACGTCTCCTGCAACCCACGAGCTGCGATGAACAACTTTGTGGAGTGAGTCTACAAATATTAGGGGTTCCCCCCCCAAAAAAGTCTTAAATTTGGGCTGCTTCCTTCACCATCGTAGATTGCTATGGGCAAATGTTGATTCACGTTAACCTCCTACGGATGTGCAGAATTGAAGCCAGACCACCCAGCGATGGGGGGGAGTGTGGCGGGGAACACAAGGGAGAGAATATCAAATAAAAGGACGAAGATTCATGCCGTGTTTTTCTCTTCCCCCATAGCCTTTGCCGAGCACCTTCTCACCGTGTGAAGGGTAGCCCTTTCCGGATCATCAAAGCAGCCGCGGTGGATCTTTTCCCCCACACGATGCATTGCGAGATGCTTTTCTTCTTTGAAAGAATTGAGTATCCAAACAGCAAGGCAAGCAGTGGCCCTGCGGGCTCTGTGGAGATTCCAGATGTGGCGCCGGCAGACATCCCGGATGTGAAATCCCAAGAGGCAACTTCCCTCAAGGCAGACACCGCAGACTCCCTCCCCAAAACAGCGACGGAGTGTCCCAGTTAGCAATTCCCAGTTAGCCCAGCACAGAAGGGACTCGTGTTTTACTTCCTGGTCTTAAGAAAAGGGTCTGCTGCTTTCCCCCTCCCCTTCTCTTTGTTGCCCGGCCAGCTGCTGTTTAAGATTTGCAAAAGAACCAAGTTGAAGTATGTCAAGAGATTAAGGGGACCCTTAGAAGCAAAGGCCTAAAGAAAATACAATTTTAGACTGCGTCCTTTTCTCACAATGGCGTATTTTTGAAATCATGGAACAAACAGGACCAAATTAAAGCCATTGGTTGTATTTTTGTTGTGTAGCTTTCTTTGTCCCCGTATTTGCCACAATTGGAGTAATCTTTGATGTACAATAATGGAGTCTGCCCATTACAGTCGCACGTCGCTTGGTTGTAAAGCGGGTGACCACATGACAAATGGTTGTTAAGTCAAGGACTGCCTCTAATAATTTCTACTTTGTTAAATGCTGAATCCTAGTTTTAATTAATGTGGTTAAAAGAACCTCCAAAAGACAGCACCCCCAGAATACATAGAATTAGAATATAGAACAGTGGTTCTCAACCTGTGGGTCGGGACCCCATTTGGGGTCGAACGACCATTTCACGGGGGTCGCCAAACAACGCAGTCCGCCATATCCCCCCCCCCCCGTTTCCTTAGCTGTGCTACTCCCTTTTATTCTATTGGCTTTTGAAAGCCAATAGAATAGACTCTCTTGAATAGAGTCTAATTCTATTGGCTTTTGAAAGCCAATAGGAATTGTCCAGGCTGTCTCTGCCCTGCTGAGCCCGCCAAAAGTCTCATTCTGCAAACGGTGCTGCACCAGTTGAGTAGTTCCCGACTTACGAACGGTTGGGGGTCGCGGCATTAAAAAGGTTGAGAACCACTGGAATAGAATATGGAATACAATAAGTAGACTAGAATATAGAATGGAATAGAATTAGAACAGAGCAATATAGAATAGAATAGCTGGAATGTACCTTGGTGGTCTTCTAGTCCAGCCCCCTGCTCAAGCAGGAGAACCTATACCGTCTCAGACAAGTGACTATCCAGTTTCTTCTTAAAAATCTCCAGTGATGGAGCACCCACGATTTCTGGAGGCAAGCTGTTCCACTGGTTAATTGTCCTTACTGTTAGGAACTTTCTCCTGAATTCCAGGTTGCTTCTCTCTCTGTTCAGTTTCCAACCGTTGTTTCTTGTCCTTCCCTCTGGTGCTTTGGTGAATAACGTGACCCCCTCATCTTTGTGGCAGCCCCTCAAATACTGGAACACTGCTATCATGTCTCCCCTATTTCTTCTTTTCTTTAGACTGGCCAAACCCAAGTCCTGCAGCCGTTCTTTGTATGTTTTATTCTCCACGCCTTTGATCGTCTTAGTTGCTCTTCTTTGATTTTTTTTTTCCAAACTCTCAACATCTTTTTTGTGGTATGGTGACCAAAATTGGCTGCAGTATTCCAGGTGTGGTCTTACTAGGGATTTATAAAGCGGTACTCAACCTTTTCATGTCAAACTCCTTTTAAATACCTTTTGTGGCCACGGACCCCCGAGATTTAATTAACATTTTTCAAGTCTTCATAAGACCCCCCGTGATGACACTGTGGTCTTCCAGGCATCCACAGACCACAGGCTGAGAACCCCTGCTTTAAGGAGGGTTCTCCCCCTGTCCCAAAGACATCTAAACATACTTTTATTTAACTCTCTTCACTCACATAGAAAATGTACCGATGGAAGAGAATGTGTTCTGCCAATCGCATCCCTCTCCTAGATGGAAGGAAATGGAGCTGCATAATTCAAAGCTGCTTCTCCCAAGAATTATGATTGGCAGTACCAGATAATAATAAAATCTTACATAAGATCAAACTTTATTGCTGAAAGCTAATATTTGGGAAAAGGAAACAAGTAACTCAAAAGTCGTAACACAGAGGCTCAAAGAATAAGACTTTATAAGGGCGCCAGCCGACCATTGGCATTAGTCAACAATTCATAACAGCACCCAGTTAACATTGAGTTGGTCACATTCATTTTCAAAATACAATACTGTGATTAATCACTGCAAATTGTTCCATGGGATGGACAGGCCAGCTTAAAACGTGGAACACCCCCATTAGAGAGAGAAATACAGTTTTCACCATCGCCAAGAATACAGATTAGTTAGTAGAAGATGGAAAAAGCTATAGAGTGAAATACTTCTGCAAGTATGAGCAATGTTAGAAGACACAGTGATTTGTTCCCAGCAGTTAAGAATCCAATTGACTGGACCAAGTAAATTTTATCGGCGCTGTCAATGGATAGCGTCCGACTTGTTTGCATCCGTTATTATTTGACTAATTACGACCACTTAAATGGGTTTTTCTCACATTTCTCAAGGAAAGAATGAAAAGCAAGGAAGTCTTTTATTTCTTGAAGGTTAGTGCAATGAAAAAGGAGCCCATCCAGAAAAATACACTGATTTAATGAGGGTTTAAAAGGGGAAGAGGGAAGAAAACTACTATAACTTTAGACGTTGCCAAAACAGAAATCCCAAGTGATTTGACTAGAAAAAACACAAGTTAATGAAGACTGAGAAAGTTCCGAATGGAACTTTAAATCAGACTGCACGGATATTCATGCAGAAACTGGAATGAATGGATGAGATGGTGGATCACAGTAGCTTGTGCTCTGGGGCAAAATATTAAGACTACTCCGCAAATTATAGTAAATGTGGGCAAGGACGAGAAATACTTCACAGGGATGGCAACAATGACAAGGGGGGGGGGTTGTCCCAGCTGTTATTGCGCCTGGTTGAAACGTCAAGACGCTGCAGCACTTGTTAAAATAATGCATAATGTTTTTATACTAGCCTTTGGTTTACAATGATAACATCTAGATGTTTTGAAGGGCAGTGGCGAACCTTTTTACCGGTTCTGACAAATAAGGCTAAAACCAAATACATCAACCTAACAAAAACACTTCTGGAAAAAGAGGCAACTGTGATAACTGCAGAGGACCTGCAAAAAACATTCTAAGTTTGGGCAAAAGAGAGCAATTTCCTTACTTCCGTAGAAAAGACATATCCGACTTCCTTTTGAATCGGTGGCGTTTGTAATACTAGGGTAAAAATTAGAAACTGACTGTTTTGAAGAACAGAAATCTAGGGTAAAAATTAGAAACTGACTGTTTGAAAAACAGAAATCTTAAGACACTTAAATGTCGTGCTTAATTCTATGATAAATCATGACCCGAAGGAACATCTATGGGATAAAACTCCACAGGGCCAAAATGTCAACCAAAGGCCTCAGGAATATTTGCAAATACCAAGGGTGAAAGCTAGTGTTCTAACAGTTACACAACTTTTTTTTTTTTTTTAATATTCCCACCGAGATTTCTGTTAGCAAAGCTTCCAACTGAAGCGATCTGCCTCCTGCAGAGATAAACGTTATTACACAATATTTTATTCAGAGGTTTCAAACATCACTGCGTGCAACCAGCCATGCACAGGCTAAACTCTCATTGCAAGGGAATAGAAGCTGAGCGAGCAAATACAGACCACAGCGAAGAAAAAAAAAAACACGTATTTTTGAGATCCTGGCGTTTTTCTGCCTTTCGGATTAGCAGCCCCCTTGCATGCAGTTGTGTTGTTAAAACAGCATTAAAAGGTGGCTGGCATTATTTGCTTTAAGGAGCATCAAAGAGGTGTGAAAGCAGACGTCCACTGGTTATGCAAAATTGGGGGCGGGATATTAGCTCAACAATCCTTCCTTTTTTGGGAGGGTTGAAGTCTTGCTGGAAAAAAAATCTCCCAAAGGTGCTTGGTTTTTTTCTTGAAGACGTTTAGCCAAGAAACTTCAGTTCTGACTGAAGGGTGGAGGATGGAAGGACTCTCGGAGGGAGCGCGAACGACCAGATGACTGCAAGGAATGTACATCCATCCATCCATCCTCCACCCTTCAGTCAGAACTGAAGAAGCTTCTTGGAGGAGAAGCAAAACAATTTCTTCAAGGAAAAAACCAAGTCCAGTTGCCTTTTGAAAAAGCACCTTTGGGACAGCTACGAGCTGGAGGACTGACAATCTCCATAAGACATTTACTGGAGGGGGAAGAGAAAAAAAATCAATCACAAAATGGTATGGATTTCTTTCGCTGTAGTTTTTGCTACTCAAACCTTCTATAACCGTGGACCGGCAGGTTTGCCTTAAGCAGAAAACCTTTACATCTTCATATTCCTGAATTCAACAACAGAATTTACTCCGGAGCTTTTTTTAAGCGTCCTCTCTGTTGTATTTCACTTTACATTCAAATAGTTCCCGAAGCCAGATTTGCAAGTACTGAACAGGCAATAAAAAATAAAGACAGTCACATTAAAAAATAATAATAACCTCAACTTGAAAGGAGTCCAGTGATTTTCCTGATGGGGAATAAATGCCAAGTGTTGCAATTTTAACTGACACGATAAAATGTGCAGCCTTATCTAGCACTGCTGCTGCACTCACGGTGACTCTGGTAAACGTGAGAAAACATGGTTATAAGCCCTACATGCACGAAGTTGCAGAGCAGTGGTGCCTGGCTCATCTTTATGCCAAGTGTTCGTTCGTTGTTTACATCTAAGAGAAACTGAAATATAGCTTACAATCACAGTTTCCTAAGTTCGTGTTTGTTTTAATTGAAAGGCAACCATTAAAAAAATGGAAACTTCAGAGCATAGATGCAATCAGTTTTTCTCTGATAATCAGTGTATCCATGCTGAAAATTCTTAAAAGACTGCAAAAATTCACGGAGGAGCAATCCTACTGGCCTAATCTCACTCAGCAGGGCATAAAGTGACACACCCTTTTGTGTCTTTCCTTCAGTGTAAGCTGTCAAAAGTGTGTGGATCAGTGCTTAATTCTTTTGTGCAGAAATACAAGAAACCCTTCCAGAAAACTAAGGGCCTGTATTGTTCCTAAAAGCAGGAAGAGATATACGGTCCTGGGTTACACATTCATCCCACTCTTTAAATGGATATTATGGATTTAATCCTGAAACATCTCCATCAAAGGCAACACAAAGGATGGGGAGTGAGTTTGCCCAGCTCTGTATGGCCGGGTAGATTTTCACCCTTTTGAATAACAACATCTTGGGAAGTACACACAAAACTTAGCATTATCACCCTGATGCAAACACACAATGCATGTTTGAAGCAGCTTTTGACAGTTAGGTTGTTTCCCGAAGCAAACCAATTTCTTCCTCAAACTGTTTGACAATAAAATAAAATAAAATGAAAACCATCCCTAACTTTCGCCACTTCGTTTTATTGCTCCAATTCCTAATCTTTCTC